AGCAGGGTAACCTGCACTGCCTCACAGTGCTAGCCTCAAAATGTGGTCAGGAAGGAAGGAGAAGGGACCATAAGTGGCCAGATGTTCAGTGCAGCCCCTTCCACACAGGGAGCAATCATCATGATGGTCCTGTTTCTTGTGGGTCCAGGCATCAGGTCTACCCTTTTCTCCTGCATCAGCTGGGCTGAACACTTGCTCCCTTCCTGTAGATCCTGTCCTGGTTGGGGCTTTCTGTATGGGCCAGAACAAATAAATCAGTTTCCTGGTAAAACGAAAACAGGCCACACAACTAGAAGACACCTGTGCTTGTAGGTCCTGCTGTCAGTTTTGATGCTACCCTGTTGCATGATCTCAGGAAAGTCATGCCTTCTGCCTGTTATTTCAAATTAACTTTTGCCACTTCTGTCCAGAGGAAGTTGCGAAACTTGACATGAGAGGCAGTAAGAAAGTGTTTGGTTATAACAGTGCAACCACAGACTTTGTGGTTCCCTCGCACTTCACCCCACCTCCCAAGATTAGGCACAGAAAATAAGTACTTGTCTTTTCTGCAAACCACTCAAAAATGCACGAGGCATCTCTAGCAGAAGCTGGCAGGGATCCTATGCTCCGAATCTTTTACAACCAAAAGAGCTTAGCAATTAGCAAAATAACAAAAAAATGTCAAATGCATTTTTGATGCTCTGAAGTTGTTGAGATTTTAAACAAGCAGTCTGGGCTGCTCCCACACACCAAGAAGTCTGTGTGCCAGCAGCGCTGCAACAGCACCACCTCATGGGGAGTTTCAACCCCTGCAACCTTCAGACAACAGCCCCATCTTCATACAGTTTGTTCTGCAAACAAGATTAGCACCATGGTGGGATTATTTTGCATGAATGCGTTGATTTCATGGTTGTCAGCAAGAGCATGTGATGGGATTTGAAAGGGAAGTTTTTCTCCAAGGTTGGTTAGACTAGTCTCTGAAATCCCAGATGGCACCAATTGGGCATTTTGAAGTGTGCCTCGTCCCGTGTAGAAACCCTCAGGGTCGACAAGCTCCTGAGGTATGATGAGGTATCATCAGCCTTAGTTGCTATTAGAGGAAGAAGAAGCACAAAGAAGGGAATGGTTTTGTTGAAGGTACCTCAGCAGGCCAGAGACCCCCCTCAAGTCCCTCTCTTTGCTCAGTGCTCCCAAAACATCAGCTCCAGTCTGCTTTGCTGGTCTCAGTAAGACGTTTCTAAACCAGACTAACATTTTCTTCATGTGCTCCAAAGCTTACCTGAGCAGTAAACCTAGACATCAATCCCTGTAGTGTGATTAAAACAATGTAAAAAGTGGTAGACATCTACAAACTTAGTAGCTGGAGCCTCTCTCTATTTCCAGTCTCAGGAGCCGCAGGAATTGCATCCTGCCTCTCCACCTCAAGGCAGGTGCATGAGAGAAGAGAAAATAGCTGGGAGTTTGGCAAGAAATACCTCCTGTCCCAAGCAGATTAAGGACTGAAAGTGAAGGCGCCTGTTACCACACATGCGGATAGAAGAGGGTGCAGAAAACCGGCTCGTCTGGCTCCTGCTGACATCTAGCTCTCCATCCGTCTCTCTCGGCATCTGTACATCTACTTATTTTTAAACCTGTCTCTCCCCTTGTCTATCCATATGCCTTCCTGTCTATCCAATCATATGCCTCATTTAGGATCCATACTTCCCTCCTTGCGGACAAGTGTGTAATGCGATTTGCCTTACTGCCATCTAGTGATTCAGTGTAATTTGTTCCCCATCTGTTCTGGCTTTTGAACAGTTCAATGCTCTTGCTTCTAAAGGTGCCTGCATTTCCAGGAATGCGATTATGAAGCAGTTAGTTAGAAAATCCCTTTTTGATGCCTAAAAAGGACCACTATCACCTGTCCCTACATGTCCTCTTTTAGCATGAACACATCTCCATAGACTGAGTAAGCTTTCAGACATCAAAGAAATTCTCAGAACAAGCAACCTCATAGACTCCTTTTTGTGCTGATATCCTCAACCTTTGCTATGTGGTGAAGCCTGAGATGGACCATGATGTGCAGACAGCACCAGCTAGTTCATTGCATATATGATAAAAATACTGACCAGGAGTGCAAATGTTAGTAATTTTCCCCCTATATCCAGCCATCCTAATGTAAAACTGAATGCAGAACACCCTGGAAGCTCCCCAGCCCCCCGCTTTTTTGTTTGTTTGTTTGCTTGCTTGCTTGATTGATTGATTGTTTCCCTTTCTGGAAACGAGGATTGAGATTGTTTTGAGTTCATCTCAGCTGTCCTAGGCAAATCACCCTTACAAACCGCCTTCCAAATCACCCTCTGGAGGTTTGATCTGTTTCCACTGACTGTGGGTAGCACCAGGATGTCTGATCGAGACCAGACACTGAGCGAGGTGAGATGAACATCATTCTAGGGATGCTGTTCAGACAATTGGCAGAACAGTAAAATTCAACAGAGTCCGCAGGTAGCTGAGTCAAGCAGTAGGAAAAGCAATTCCACATGCTCTGAGCAATGCAAGGTCTCTTCGGGGCCAGGCAACCCCCAGCCACAGTTCTTGTGTCCTGGCCTTGGATGAAGACATCCAAGAAGGCACGGCGGAAGCTCTGAAGCTGGGCCAGCTCTGCAGGATTCTCAATGTTTCTGCTCTTTCAAGGGATACAGTTCATCCAGACTCCAGGATGAGTGTGAAGTGCTTAGTTTTATTCTTTTCTTCTGTATTTGAAAAACATGCCCCCCCACATCCTGCTGCAAAACAAACAAACAAAGAAACCCACTACTCTTGAAGTCTTAGGTACATTATCTAGACCGTCTGACAGGCTTAATTCAGGCAGCTTCTTCAAGCCATCAAGCCAAATGGTTGCTTATGGTATCAGAGCAACTCTCTTTTGCCTTTAGAGATGCTCAGCATCATTGCCAAGATTTCCCAAGCACTGTCTCACCAATAGCTTTAGATCAGCAGGAGAAAGAAATGAATGAACTTTTCATTCACGTTAGGTGAACCTGGAATTTTACACAACCAGGAAAATAATAGGAAAAAAAAGTACCCCAAATCTATGGACAAGTGCATGTTAATATCTATACACAACTATAATAGGACACGCTTGCCATCTTCAGGAGCTGAGCAGGAACTGCACATAAATTTTCAAAAAGTGGTGGGAATCAATGTCAGGACACAGGAATTAGTGGGTTCTCGTGCAGCCTCTGGCTGTAGCCACTAAGTAGTGGATCAAGGCAGCTGCTGAGCTACAGATCCCAGGAGCTCTATGGGTCCTGGTCTTTGTGTCAGCCTTGGGGATATTAGAAAAAAATAGAAAGAAATTAGAGTATTAGGAGAGAGAGACTGGCAGTAAGCCAGACTACTGGGGATGTGAGCCACACTCCCTCTTACTGGTGAGATTCTTGAAGAAAGAACATCTAATTCAAGGCCGGGGTGGATTTGATAGGGGCTAGGTTGTCCTCTCCCTTTGCCCCGTTCTTCCCTGACACAAGGAACCTCCAGGGACGAACATAAGGATTTTTAAAAATATTGATAAATAACGTTAAATATCTCTGAATAAAGATCACCAGAGACCTTTTTTCTACCTGTTCCAGAAGTGCTCCCGCAGCTATTCCAAATAAAAATGACTATAAGTAGGATGGTCTGAAATCAAATAACTAAAAAGCAAGCGGAGCAAGGGGTAATAGACACAGAAAGGAGCACTTTTATTTAAACGAAAGAACTGGGACTTGAACAAAAATTCCACTGTCCAAGGAGGATCACTTAGGATCCCCACAGAGGAAAGAGTATGTCCAAAGCATCCCCCACACCAGATTCTCCTCTGGTCTAAATCAGAATAGCATTAACTTCAAAGATGTGCCAGCTAACCTTTCATTATTCATCCTGAAAGATGAGTAACGCTCCTCAGGAGCTAAGGTCCACCAACACATTGGCACACCTTCCTTTCAATTTGTCCTAAGAGCTAAACTGTGAGTGAACAAGTCCCCAGAGGGTATTACTGCAAAGTGCTGCCTTCCTGAAGTCTAAAGAAGAACTCCAAATAAAGCAAGAAACCACAGAAAATTGAATTTAGCAGGAAGGCCTGTTTTCTTGTACACTGGCATGTCCTGAGAGTGGGCAAATAATGTGTTGGATGGGAGAGCTCTCTATCCAACCCACCAAGGCAAGTCTACAAGCCTCAGCTCAAATTGTGGCTAAACTTGCCTTCCCCTGTGATCGGAAATGGCATTTCTTTAAAAAGCCTGAATTATTTACACAGGGATGTAAATTTGATGTTTAAACCATACCTAGCTTATGCAAAATAGAGAGACTGCCAAACAGATGCATGGTACAGTGTGTGTAACATGGAGATAGAAATACTGAAGAAAGCAATCAAATAGTCCCTTCGGCTTCAACATGCCTTGAAAACGTGAATCGAGCATTGTATTTTACTACACCACAGAGAAAATACATAAATGAATGCACAGGAGCACGTGGACCTCCAGATGAAGTCTACACACTGCTGTTTGCTCACATACCTTACTGCCACATGCCACAAGACAGACACGTAGGTAAAATAGCTGGAGGTGTTTATTAAAGAACATTTATGCTTGATTTAAACACAACAGCCCTTCTCAGAGTAGCAAGGTGGGGTGGAGAACTCTGTTCACAGGGTACAACCGCAGCCCTGGGCAGACACACGAGGCCAGCTTTGTTCCTGTCCTGAAGAATTTGTCCTTTTTTTTTTTTCCAGTTGCGTGAACACTTTGCTGGAGGGCAGGAGGAAAGGCAGGGCCAGGGGGCTGCTGGCAGCTCAGCCATGGAGAATGACAATCAGATAGGAGAGGCCCATAGCACAAGCATCAGCATCATGGATCAGCCCCTCCCTTGGTCCAATGTGCAACCTCGCTCAGGTGCCTTGGCAGGGAAAACCTTCCAGGCGTGCATGGTTGCTGCCTCCTGCACTATATAACGTGCCCTGAAAGGAGGCAACTTGTACCCTGTGTGAGAGAGGACATCGTAAAATGAAGGCTTTGCTCGTCCTCCTGGTGGGAGCAGCCGTATGCCTGGACTCAGGTAAGATGACATGGACAGTCTGCCCCACGTCTTCTCCAGTAATGTGCTCTGCTGGGAAGAAAAATCAGCTAGGGGATATTGCAGTGAAGGAAGAAATTCTGAGGCAGTTGTTGTATATATATATATATGCATATGCCACGTTCACTTTCTGATGAGGGAGATCTGGAAAAATGGGGAGGTTGGATGGAAAAATGGGTAGCGTCACTGTGCTCATGACATGATACTAGCACTGGGAGAGCAAATTCCAGGAAATATACTCCTGGAAAAGTCCTGGATAAGTCCTTAAAAAAAAAGAAAAAAGACAATTTTATAATAAAGAGGGGAGGGAAGGATCATTTTTTTTCTTCCTAGGCTAACAAAAGGGCTCATTTTAATATTTCTGCAAAGGCAAGTTTTTCTCTGGCATATTTTTTGATTCCTCATTTCAATACTGGCCTCTCAGTTTGCAAAGTTTATCTGCTTTCTAAAAGGAAAGGAAGTAGGGCGAGCTCTGTGACTGTGATTTTCTAGATTGAACAGGTAGAATTTGGACGGTGCAAATCTGTTGCAAAAGTCTCTTTTGTATGATTGGGAAAACACTGTTTAAAAGCAACTCTCCCAAATAACTGGAGGGCAGAAGACCCAGACCTGAGTAGAAATTATCTCAAAGAGCAGAGGGTATTTAAGGAATAAGATGAGGAGGGGCTTCTACAATCCTGACCAGATCCTCTCCTTTGCAAGATACCGGCAAATGCTCTAGCTGTCCATCAGCAGGATTTGTTGAAATTTGACTTGTGTTGCATTGGAAGTCAGATATTCAAGGGAGCAGAATGCTTCTGTATCAACAAACTGGGGGCTTGCTTATTGCCTCTATGGCTACGCCAGTCTACTGTGTAAAACAAAATGTCCCAGGGGGAGAGAGACCAAGTGGTTCAAATCCCTTCTTACTCCTGCACCCAGTAACATTACAGCTTCTAGTTATGGCTTGTCTATGTGGAAAAAAAAATGGATTTTAGGCACTAGGGTTTTGGGTCCAAGGGAGTGATGAGATAAGCCTGATGGTCAGTGGGTTAAAATGCATACACACATTCATACACACTTTCCTAAACATTTTTCAGGGATGTGAGGCTCCAGTGATGCCCTGGGACATGAGTAGGTAATAGGAAAAGGGAATTGCACCATGTTTGCTCTCCTTGAGGGACTATTTTTCATCAGGACATGTAAGCTGCAGTGCCTGTGCTGGCATCCCAGCCTTCGTTTGATATACTTAACAACATTATGGATGTTAATATCAATGCATTCTTTTGGTGACTGCATACGTCCATCCCTTCTGAGTTCACAA